TGAGCTTTGTCTAGTTTCTTTGAGAAAAATGCTATTGGTTTGATATCGTCGTCAATAGATAAGTTCAGTGATGCACCAACAGCAAAGTCAGAAGCATCACCAAGTTAAAGGCATGAGGAAGGATGAGAAGGGTAGTAACTTGTAAAAGTTCTTCTTTACATGACTCGAAAGCTAATTCCGCTTCTTTAGTCCAAGAAATAATTCTTCTATCCCTCTTGCGACTGTCCTTTAAATATTCTGTTAACAGAGCTTGATGATTTGCAGCATCCTTGAGACAGCGACGATAATAATTGATAATTCCTAAAGATCTGCGTAATTCATGAAGTGTCTTAGGTTTAGGATAATCAATAATTGATTTCACTTTTTCGGATGTAGGTTTAACTCCTTGGTTAGAAACTAAGTCCAAGAAAAGAAATCTCGCTTTGACCGAAAAGACATTTAGCGACATTGATTGTCATTCCAGCTTGTTGAAGACGATCAAAAATAATGCGTAAGTGAGCAATATGTTCTTTCTCATCTTTAGAAGCAATAAGAATGTCATCAAGATAACAAAGGCAAAACTCAAATCATTAAGTAAAGAGTTCATGAGCCGTTGAAAAGTTTGGGCTGCGTTTCGTAAACCGAAAGGCATTACGACAAATTCAAAAAGCCCAAATGGAGTAGTGACAGCTGTTTTGTGAATATCTTCTTTAGCGACGGTACTTGATAGTACGCTTTAACTAAGTCGATTTTAGAAAAGATATTCTTACCAAAAGTGAAGAAGAAAAATCTTGAATATGAGGTAAGGGATAACGATCCGGGATAGTCACTGAATTGAGTGCACGATAATCACCACACAGTCTCCAAGAATTTTGTTCCTTTTTAGGTACCATATGTAGAGGGCTGCCCAGGAGCTGCTTGAAGGCCTGCAAATTCCTTGCTCCATCATAGACTTGAATTCTTCCTTGGCATTTAAGTTTCTCAGGAGTAAGTCTTCTGGGAGTCGAAAATTTAGGAGAACCTTCCGTAACGATATGATGTTCAACACCATGTGTTTTTACCGAGGAAATTGGAGAAAAACGGGTGAGTCCTGGAAATTCGGTTAAAAATTTGGTACACAGAATCAGGAGATGTGGTAAAAATTGACAAATGCAATTTCTTGAATTTTTCCAGTATTCATAAGACCGGTAACATTATCAATCAATTTCTTGTTTTTAATGTCAATTAGGAGATTAAAATGACAAAGGAAATCGGCGCCTAAATAGGACGTTGAATATCCGCGACACAAAATTTCCATTTGAATTCTCTCCTTAAACCGAGGTTCAAAATTAAAGTTTTAGAACCGTAAGTATTAATTTGAGTACCATTTGCAAAAAGTTTTAAATTAGTATGCCACGGCTTCAATAAAACCTTTTTAGGTAACAACGATATCAGCGCCCGTATCGACAAGAAAATTCAAATTTGAATGTCTGTCGAAAATAATGAGGCGATTGTTAGAAACACCGTCGTAAGCAGCCTCAGTCTTAAGCGGCGTTTTTAGTTTTCCTGTGAAGCCAAGAATGTTTTGGACATAGAACAAGGTAAAGTACATCGTTTAGCCTTATCACCAAACTTCTTATGGTAAAAACAAATTGATGTATCTTTAATATCTTTATTGATTTGTCTTTGTTACGCGATAACGATCTAAATCTTCTATTCTCTCTAGACCGGCTTTTGGAACGATACGACGAAACTTCAAGAGCTTCGATTCTTCGTAGCAAATCCGCGAAATCCGAAGATTTATTACTTGTATTATTGGAAACTTCCGCGGCTTGCAAACCGTCCCGATCAGCAATTTTATCGGCTTCCGCAAGTTTAACAAGAGGAACATCTCTACGGCTAAAGTCGTTTGAATTCTATGTGGTAAGCGTTGAAGCCAAATCATTTGCAAAACACTATCTGCTAAAGATCCTCCAGACAAATGACGAATTTCTCGAAGTAATTCGAAGGCTTTTTATCATTAAGTTCAATTCCAGCTAATATTTGTCTCAAACGTTTTCCTCTGAATCCGTAAAGCGATTTAATATATTTTCTTTAAATAATTATATTTATCTGTTTCAGGTGGATTTTCATGACTTCAGATATGTTTACTAAGGCTGTTCATCAAGATGACGAATGACAGAACTATAATATCATCTGATCGAATTCGATAAACCGTAAACTCACTTTCAATAGAAGCAAACCAGAGTTTAGGTTGTTTATGCCCAGAAAGTCGGTAGTTTTAATAAACGAAACTCATTTGAGTGAATTTGTAACATAGGATCACTCACCTGATGTCCAGTTTGAAGGTAAAATAATATTTTCTGATCCAACCTGATTTGATCCGCTCGCCAATCCATATCAATCTGTGTATCCGAACAGGGTCTAACTGGTGATCTATCGATTGGCATTTCCTCTTGTTCCAGGAATCCGATAAATGATTTGAGAATTTCCGTGAAGGACTAATCCGCCTCTGATGTTTCAAAGATCCGGAGAATGAATCTCTTAAATCAGAATATCCTCCAGCAATTCTTAAGCGATGATATTTAGACTTTAAATACGACGATCACTTGGCATTTATTCCGCATCAGTTTTAAAATGCGTCGGCTT